TATGTGTGTGTATGTGTGTGTATGTGTGTGGTGAAACACAAAACCAATGTGCCAGAATCTGGACAAAAAGGATTAATCTTATCTTATCTTATTGGAACTTCATTCGTTTCTTCCAAATTTAAGGGTCTTATTATGGTTCAAACCGATTTTTTTGTTCCCTTTTAGGAATTGACAGCGCTAAGGGTTTAGGCATTGAGCCTATCCTCACTGCCTCAGAACTGGCCGACCCAGGAGTGGATCATTTAGCCATCATGGCATATCTCAGCAAGTTTCAGGCCATCAAACCCCGCAAGCCCAAATCAGAGCGACTAGAACTTATGTGCACAGTTTCTTCAGTGACGACGGGTGAAATGGTGAAGATAATTTATTATTCTTGTTCATGTTCCTGCACCTACTTGTTGTTCTTCCTTTTCTGCTTCTCTTTCTCCTCCTCCTTCTCTCTTGCCTCCTGTGGTTGGTTGGTGGGTGCTCTGGTGTGGTTTGCTCCTTCTTTCCTATCAAACATATATATATATATCGTCCTTATCTTCCCTCCTTCTTTTTGGGGTTTGTTACTCTCTTGTTACATATTTAATCTTCGACATGTATATTGTGACCTTATTGTGTTGCAAATGCCTTAAAACTCCTACTAAAACAAACCTTCCCCTCTTCCTTCATGAGATATATTTTATCTTTATTATGTTTCTATCACTCAAGTAAACGTACTGTTTGAATTAAGAGGAACTTTTTGGATTGACAAGCTTTAGATTCTAACAGTGAGGTCTTTTGTGACTGCATATGTAAAGTGTATACTTGAGAAAAGATAAGGAAAAACAGAATTTGAAGCTTACTTTTTTATAATATAATAATTTGCTAGTGTTACTTTTTAAAACTGTGGTAACATTGTTCCTTATTAGTTGTTAGACATGCAAAATATGATTTAAATTAATGATAGTTTTTTTTTTAAACATTGTAGGCCTTCCGTATTAAAGAAAACCTTAGACTGAAGAAATTCTCGAACTTAATTTTTTATTTTCGGAGTGTAAGACCAAATATACAATTACCCTGACAGGAAACAGCTGATTGAACTTTAGGTTTTCTTCTTCCTCTTGAAGTGCCAGATCTGACACAGACATCAGGGTACATGGTACTACACTTATTTACCTTCTCGGTGGCCTAGTGGTTAGGCTCTCGGACTCGCAACCGTAAAGTCGTAGGTTCAAATCCTGTCAGGGGTCCGACGTTGTGTCCTTGGGAAAGGCACTTTACACAAATTTTCCTCACTTCACCCAGGTGGGAATGGGTACCCAGCTATAGACCACGAAAGATCTTGTCAGCTTGTTAGTGTTTGAGCACTTAATCAGCTGCTTGCACTGTTTACTTCCCGGGAAGCTGAGAATGTTTCTGAGTGTTCTATGGTCTGCTGGGGTAAAAATATAGTGTTAAGCGCATAGAGCCTGCTGTTGAGCGCGGATATGCACTATACAAATGTAAGAATATGGATAAAATTTCTTGAGATGGCTATCCATTGACGAGGAGAAAAACTATTGCCTTAGATAAATGTATGTCTCTGTCAGCGTCATTATAATGTAGAAAAAAAAAAGCAAGAGGAGGGAAGTGGAAAGTGGGCACATGTACAGGGAATTGTCTCAGACAGGTAACCATCAAAACAGATGCCACTGTATAAAGTTTATATTGTCCTGTTCTTCTCCCATCACCCATCTGACAGCTTTTTTCTTAATTTTCTACATAGGTAAATTTTGACGTTAAAGCCACAGAGTCTGATTTCGAGCAGTCAAAAGTGCAGATGACAGTAGAAAATCCTGGTGCTGACTCTCCCAAGTGTACAGTACAGTGGACGACAAAGACATTTGGATCGTGCAACTTTGTTCCGAAAGCTGCAGGAGAGTACAAAGTGAGTTCTACAGACTTTTTTTGGTCACTATTTATCTTTAGAATTGCTGCCAAAGTTTATGTATCTCATGCTTATTCATATTTTAATATTAGCCTAAGAATCTGTGTGGAGATTATTTTTGTAATCATGACAACTTCCTTTGATAAATCTCTGACGTAATCATCTCCTGGGACTGTATTAGTAACACATGAAGGAGATGCGGCATTTGATTTTGTTTCCTGCAGGAAAGTGAAGATGTTGAGGGAAAGAACAACAAAATGTTTACTGTCCCAAAGATTGATGGCTAACTTGGCTCCTAGCTGTAAAAAGTTCTTTACAGAGATCTAAGTTTTTTTTCTGGTTGATCATTCAGGAACTTTACTACTGCCTATAGTTGTAAGAAAAAGATTATGTCGTCAACCCCTGCCTTTGTAGGCTGATTCCTTTGTATTTGTATTGTATACTCATGTAGCTAGATACCTATTACTAAGACTGGAAGAATTGTAGTCCTAGTTCTAATGAACATAGACTATGTTGTATCAAATAAATTTAAAATTAATGTGGTCTTTTTTATATAGTTAATTTTGAAAAAGATTGAATACATTTGTGGAATGTTGGAGATGACTGTCTATGCTTCAAATTCAAAGGGAATATTCTTATCTCTCATAGAAAATAAGCCTGCAGAGAGATGATTATATTACCTGTGGTTACTATGAAATTAAGTATAAGGTCTACAGTATTTGTTTCACAGTTATAACTATCTTTTTATCCTCTGGCATCTGTGGTGTAATTGTTAGGCTCGATCAGTGCATGCAGAAGATATGAATGCAGTTTTGGTATGTGTAGGTTTTTTTTTACAAAGTCTCTTCATCTGCCTCCTGGGTGCTGTAACCCTCTTTCTCAGCATGGGTTGCTCCATATAGGCACTGTTGAAGTTGCCTGCCTCCAAGGTGATCAAATTTGTGACCTTGGGGTTATAAAGCATTTACAATAATTGAACAATAACAATATAATATGTATTTGTCACTCAGGTTCACATACTGTACGATGGTGAGGCTGTTCAAGGGAGTCCGCTCACATTTTCTGTTCAGCCTGATTTCAGCCAGTTCCGTCTTTTGGGATATCCAAGTCCTTGCAAGCTTGATCAACCATACAAGATTGAGGTACAGTTGAGTAGCACAGAAGGAACCAGAAAATTTTAGCATAGCATCTTTGCTCATAGCAAGTCCTAGCTCCTCAACCAAGGACTTCAGCATCCCCATCTCCGCTTTGTTGTTTTCTGCTTATGAAAAATAAACCCAGTGTGACCTCATAGAAGCCCCAGACATTGCACAAAACACTTTCCACCCATGCAGCACGCAGAACAAGCAACACTTGTGCCCACGGACCAAAATGCAGATGCAATACATCAGTACTACACCTGTATCTCAGCAAAAATACCCCAACCAACCAGTATCAAAATTTCAGCATACTGAAAAAATTTAAAGTAATGATCGCATGTTCACCAAAAAAGAAATAAGAATCGGAATGGAAAACATTACATCTTGCTCATTCATCAACCGAATTATCATCAAGGTGGAAGAGTAAAGAAGCACTCTTGCTAGGTCTACTAGACATTAATTTTAAAAAAGATTTACTCCAATTGTTGTATACAAACTAATTTTTGACCTCAAAGACCACACAAACATTCGGAAAGAAAATTTATCGTCAATAAGAGCGCCTGTGAAAAAGGAGATCATTGCTGTAATGTTTTTGTTGCTATATATACACCGTCGCTAATTGGCATCCCATGGGGGCAAAGTGTTAAGTCAGCCCTTCAAAATGGGTTGCAAGCACCTAACTTTTACCTGGAGGATAAATATGTCTGTAGCAAGTATGTTTCAATTGTGTTGTTGGTAATTTAGTAGAATGAAATAACATTGTTTTATCTGAGGCATTGTGTGTTTTCTTGTTTTTTGGCCTAGCCTGTAGGCCTACATATAAGTCGCCATGGAGATTAGTTGTTAAAGATTTGTGTAGGCCTACTCATTAAAATACAGTTTTCCATTCCTCAAGGTGTTTTAATTTTGTATCAGGAAACAAACCTTTTTTTAAAATTTTCAACTGAAAAGAAGTAATTTCTCCCGTTTGAAGTTCATTTAAATGTATACAACTGATAGCATATGTTTATAGCATCTATATCTATTTATATTATATTTGTGAAAGTTCGTCACTTTGGTTGCCTAAAACTTCAGAACCACTTAACTTTCGAATTTGAAAAAATTAATGCTGGTTCAGAATCGTTTAAAGGACGCACAGTTATATTAAAGAGTCTGAAGTCAGTGCAGTTTAATTTGCTGTTTTTCATTAGTTTCGTTCAGATCTAATCATGGGAAAGTCTGTCTTCTAAGACGCCATTGTAAACAAGTGAGACTTCTGTTCACATGCAGTGTGCACTGAACTCAAAATGACTTGACGATTCCGTCCGTTCATTGGACGGGGTACCCAGCTAGTTTTTAATCTTATGCCGACAGATTTTTACAATTGGACAACACTTTTCCGGGCAATGTGGTATATAGAGGAAAAAGTCATCTAGATTTCTTGTGGGACTTGTGCCTTCTTTTCTTGGACATTCTTTAAAAAAATTCACCTGACATCTTGTTTTTTTTTCTAAAGAAATCTAGAGATAGACCTTACATTCAGCTGATATTTTGACTTGCTATTGTGTTGATGTCTCTGGTCTTGGGTTTTTTTGAGCTTGGGTTGTTTTTGATGTTGTCAAAGGGGTATTTTTGAGTTTGGGTTGTTTTTGTTGTTTACTTAAGGCTGTTCACTCCCTTAACTCTATTCTTTCAGAGAGTAACTTTACATTTGGAAATCTAGCCTTTTATAAAAACCCTACAGTGTTGAAAGGGACCTTAAACCCATACATTAATACACATAATCTAGATTTTGCTCTAAAATATTTCCTTTTAGGATATAAATATCATTTCTTGCAGAATTGTAAAAAAAAAACTAACATTGTCAACCCTTTGTTCTCTTCCTTCAGGTGCCTTGTCCAGTAGAAATGCAGAGTAGTGTTGTTGTCAAAACAAAGGGTCCTAGTGGCAACGAAAACACTCTGACCCTTAACCCCGTTGACAGTAGCCTAAAATCTTCCTTCATACCTAATACTATTGGTAAGTGATAACTTCTCAAGTCCATTGGATGCCAGTGTACTGCTGCTTAATTGTAATAGTAAACAGTTTCCTTTTCGTCTCTCAACGGTAAGGTTATGAGTTTGAATCGTAGGCCTACTATGTGTTTTTGGGAAAGGCACTTTACATAATTTTTCTTCACTTCACCTGAGTCGGAATGAGACCCGGCTATAAATAGCAAAAGGTCTTGTCACTTTTGTTTTGTTCTTGCTTTGTTTTTGTTTTTTTGTTTTTTTTTGTGGATTTTTTTTTTTTTTTGGGGGGGGGGGGGGTCACACACTACATGAATTAATGGTTTTTCCAATATTCATTTTTTTAGAGGAACTTGTGAATACAGTCAAGTCGTTCTTGAAATGTTACAGCATTATTTGTGTTACCACTGCTGTATTTGTCTGTAAGTGTCAATCTGTTTCTTATACATCTTTTATCTATGCTGGTAAAATTTATAGAGAATGATCCACATGTATAAAGCAGACTGGTGGTGTCTTTCTTAAACTTGTTTTTTGTATTGCACGGCGTAGGAGCTCAGCCACACATAAAAATGAGATAGGCCTAGCAATAAACTATTACAGAATACATGACCCTTTGTAACTGAAATCTCAAATTGGAAATAACCAGGTTAAGAACAAAATGGCCCGTGAAAAAAAAGAGAGCATGAAAAATATCCCTGTGTTCAGTGCACTACACATTTTTTTCAATGTCTTTCTCTTTGTATCATGAATAGACTAACTTTCTGTGTTTAGGCCTAATGTGCAATAAAAAAAAAAAAAACTGGTTTCTCAAGACATAAGAACATAGATCATAACTTTTTTTTCTCTTTCACTTTTTCAGGAGTTTGGAGTGTAACTCTTTACATTGAGCAACATGAAGTCTCTATTCAGTATTTAGATGCCTTTGATCCAAGCAAAGCTCGATTATTGGATCCACCTGAACGCTGTATTGTCGGGAAGGAAGTTTCTCTGGAAGGTTTCGTAATTGCATTCTTTTAATCTTGTTTTGTGCTTAGGATTGGATTTAAAAAATTTTTTTTGTGTTCTTTTGATTAGTTAAGAGAATCTCATCCGCTGCATAATGGTCATATAGTGCTGAGATGAAAGTAAGATGGGCAGACAGTTTATCACTTTGCAGTCGTGCAGCCAGCAGTACAAAGTACCCCATCTGGTCACCCAGCCAGGAGAGTGACTGCAACGGGCTTCTCGGGCCTGGTAAAGAACAGCATAAGGTGACCGGAATGGGTAATTTTCACCATCGCATCATTGCGTCAAGTGACCGCAAAGTGTTAAACAGATGATGGTAATAGTTAAGAAGTACATACAAGCTAGACTAAAATAGCTCTTCTGGGAGAGGTGTTTCTGTTAGATTAATTTATATAACAGTTTGTTACATTTAGCTGTGAACTCTATATGTGGAGTGGGAAATGAAGGAACATTTTAGACACTGCTGAATACAAGAATCATCATTATGAGTTTCCGTGTGTTTTTTGGCAGGTGTATTTTCATTTTCTCCTCTTCCCCTCCCCACTACTCTTTTCCTATTATTCAATGGTGATCAATGTTAAATAGGACAGATTCCATGAAAACAGTGTTCAGTTGTAAAGTGAGTAGTGAGTTCAGACAAGTGACAGTGACACAGGGTTTACAAGGATCCTCACTGGGGTGTGTCCCTTGAGCAGGACCTAACAACTGTAGCAAAAAAATAAATAGGGCACTAAACAGTGTCAACCAGTTATTACAATGTTTGTGGAATTGTTCTGTAATGGTTTAATATTGTGTATGTATGTATGTATGTATGTATGTATGTATGTATGGATGGATGTATGTATGGATGGATGGATGGATGGATGGATGGATGGACGGACGGATGGATGGATGGACGGATGGACGGACGGACGGACGGACGGACGGACGGACGGACGGACGGATGGATGGATGGATGGATGGATGGATGGATTATTATTATGTGTTTATGCATGTGTTTTCCATTGTAATCCAAATTTCCCTCGAGGGACCAATGAAATGTAATTTTTTATTATTATTATTAGTATTATTATTAGTATTATTATTAGTAGTATTTTTAAAAAAATTTAAGTTATTATTATTATTATTATTATTATTACTATTATTGTTATTATTATTGTTGTTCAAATAATGATTTGGTTTTTCCTTTCCTCCCCAGCTGAGATAGGTGGATGCGGCCTCGACAATGTGGAGGCAGAGGTTGAGTATAGTGCTGGACGGAAATTGGGTGATGTCCAGGTGACTGGTATTGGACTCACTCGTACGATCACATTCACTCCGACCGTAGCGGGACCCCACAGGGTTAAAACAACACTTGGCGGAGAACCAATCAGGGGTGAGCTCCATTTTTAAAAAATCTTTTCGTATCAAGCCAGGTCAAAACTGGTTCAAATGCATGAGTTCTGTTGGCTCATGGGGCTGCGTTCAAAGGGTTAATAATGATGATGCAGTGATGCAAGTTCAAGGGGTTTCTTGATTGAGGTAAGCAGGAATTAATCAATGCCTTTAATTTCCCGTCAAGCTTTGAAAAAAAGTAGATAATAGATATATAGGCTAGCCTACAATAAGGGAAGTGTGAAAATGGAATGTCCATTTGTTGTGCGCTAGAAATGGCTGCTTTAAAAAGTAAAATTGCCTTGTTTAGGAAGTACAACAACGATGTGATTGAAATGCATACTACACTGAACTATACAATTTTAACTCACTCAGCCCTGGGGCAAAGGACTCTGTCTGCTGGCTGTGCCTAGAGTGTTATGGTGTTTTTTTTAAGTCAGAAAAAAACCCAAAAAATCAGCAACATGCACTAAAAAGTAGCTAGGAAGAGATACCAAAAGACGTGTTCTCATTTCCCACTTCGTTACAACATGCTAAGTTATTTTAAATTGTATGTCAAGAAAGCAACCTTTGCCCTTGTAACAGTCTGTATTTTATAAAGAAATGGCCAGGGGTCATTTGTAAAGGAAAGTCTATCCTTATTGGATTTGTGTTTACGTTATAAAGCAGTAAAAATTTCCATCCCGATACTGTTAGTTCAGGGCCCAGTGCAGAAGTGCACTACCCGACTATCTCGGGCTCAGGGCTTACTGAGTTAAACAGTGCATTTATGGCAAGGTTTCGTAACAAGTTTCATTGATAGACAAGGTGAAGTGGGTGGTTGGCTGCGGTATGGTTTACTCCAATATCTATCATCAGTACTTCTCTTCCCTTTCTTCTTTGTATGTTATTCTATAAGTAATACCTCTAAGCTTCAATATTTATATAATATGACCTATTTGTACTCCAAATTCCGTAAAACTCTTACTAAAGCTTAACTGAAAAACATGATAACCAAATAAACTATCTAAGACATAAGAACCCTGTAGTTTCAGGAAGAGTTTTATTTTTAGGGCACTTGCAAAACAATAAGGTCATATCAGTGCCAACGATTACAGGTGTTACGAGAGAGTAACACACACAAAAAAAGAAAAAGAGGAGATAAGGGCAATTGTTATTTGATAGGAAAGAAGGAGCAAATCGCACCAGAGCACCCACCAACCACCCACACATCAGAATCAATGTGTCACTTGACATCTTGATGCTATTGTTGTTGTCATTGAATTTTCCAATGCAGGAACTCCTAAAACAATAGAAGTGTCAGATCCTGGGCAAGTGGCTGTGACTGGTGATGGACTCAGGCAAGGGACCAGAGCAGTAGAAGCGTCTTTCAATGTAGACAAGAAGGACTTGCAGGGAGACATAGATGTTTCTGTTGAGAGTATGTAGCAACAGACAAACTCACCAACATTATAGAACTTAGCTAAGAAAGTGGTCGGAACATTCTTTTCCCTTTTCTTTTCTTAATCCCTTTTGAAAATGAAATGTCTTTCCTTTACATATTTCAACTGTTTTGGACTTCCAAAATATTTCTTTGTCTTTTAACTTTTTTGTTGTAATTCAGGTTTCTTTTCCAAATAGCATCATGAAATGCATTGGGGTTTTGCTTTTGCAGTGCTTTTGTAGAATACAATCAACCCTCCCCTATCTTTGGTTACTGTGTTCAGATTTTCCAACAGTGATTTTGCATCTTTGAATGGAGACTCTTTTTGCATTTACATACTCCCTCCCTGGACATCTTCTGTGTAGTTTCTTACCTCTTGTGATTACTGCTGCCTTGAAAAATTGTTCTTAGTCTGACAATGATGGTGTAATGTGCTTTTAGGTTGAAGATAGTGGTGGCAGCTTGGAGTCCATTCTTAATAATGTCTTTGGCCCCTGCTGTTGGGATTTTTTTGTTTAATAGCTGAATCCAAGCTTTTTGCATAGAAGTACTGTCTGAATTTGGTCATGCATGTACTTGGTAGTTGTAAGTATGCTTTTTATTCCATCTTTATGATTCATGTTTCCCTTTTCTTAGAGCCTTAGACATTACATGAATCTCATATAGCAACGGTTTAGACTTTTTTTTTAGGGTTGGGAGTGGGAAGATTAGTACACATGTTTAAATGGGAAATTGTTTTATATCACATTCTATAGGCCTCAAATGACGCTAAGATAAATAATGAACATGTGCGGATACATGTGGGCCCCTTCCGTTGGGTCATCGTAGTGCCCATTATATCTTTGAGAAGGATGGGGGTGTGTATTTTTGTGCGTGCTTGTGTATGTGTATGTGAGTGAGATAGTGTGTTAGAAACAGAGAGATAAATTAGAGAGAGAGGAAGAGAAAGAAAGAGAGGGGGGAGGAAGGGAGGAAGAGGGAAGGAGAGAGAGAGAGAGAGAGAGATCCCCCCACCCCCACCCCCCAGAGAGAGAGAGAGAGAGAGAGAGAGAGAGAGAGAGAGAGAGAGAGAGAGAGAGAGAGAGAGAGAGAGAGAGAGAGGGAGAGGGAGAGGGAGAGAGAGAGAGAGAGAGAGGGAGAGGGAGAGAGAGAGAGAGAGAGAGAGAGAGAGAGAGAGAGAAAGAGGGGTTGGGGAGAGGGGGGAGAAAGAGACAGAGAGAGCATCCGTATGACCCTTTGTTCTTCATAGTCGTGTCATGTGACAATGACCATAATTAACTGTGAAACGGTACTGTGACAATGGGGTTCGTGTGGTGCCGAACTACACTATTGTCTTCCTGCGGGTCAATTATCACATGATGCGTAAGTGGGCGGTGGGGGATCTGGTCAAGCCCTATCCCCATCATGGTCTTGTGCACATGTGTATAACGGTGGGCTTTCGCACAGCGCTGTGTGGTATGCCCAGTCAGCGTTACGTGGTCCAAAACATGTGTGATTTCCCACTGGACGCTTGTGGTATCAAGGTAAAAATGTTGAAATACCGGGAGATATGGTCCGCCCCATATCGGGCCGGGCTGATGCCATGATTCTGTGCTGGCGAGGGTTGAATTGCCTCATTCTCTAAGCTTTCATTATTTCTAAATATTCTCTTTCAACAATTTGACTGGAATTCTGAACAATATGCACACTCAGCTTACTACACCCAATATAATAATGACCTTTTATGTTATGTTATATCATTCAATCTCTCTGTTGCACTAACCGAACGTATTATGCTCATGGTGATGGCTAGTATAATTATTATGCTATATTATCTCTCTTTGTTTACCCATGACTCAATGGGAGCTCTAATTTGATTATTTCACCCACTAACACAACTAGTGAATGGTCAGCAGCTGGAGGTGTACAAAGAAAGGAAACCAGATGGTACTATGGATTACAGATATATTCCCAAAAAAGCTGGCATGTACAAAATCAGTGTCATGTGGGAAGGTGTGCATGTTTCAGGTAGGTGAAAAATTAGGAATATAATTGATTTTATTGAATGTGTTTGTGCTGGTTCTTTGTGTATGTCTGTGTGTATGTGTGTGTGTGTGTGTGTATGTGTGTGTGTGTGTGTGTGTGTGTGTGTGTGTGTGTGTGTGTGTGTGTGTGCACGCGCATTCATAGGTGCATGCATGTATGTATGACCATTCATGGGTGCAATCATATACACCTATGTTATGTGCATGCATGCATATGTGTTTACAAGTAGGCCTATGTATGTATGTGCAGTGTTGCACGTTCTACATGTATGTGAGGGGAGAGAGTGTGCATATATATGTCAGTGTCTGTCAATGAGTGGTTGTTTTTTTAGATTACATAATGTGGGGATAAAGGGGGGAGAGGGGAGGTAAATATTGCAATGTTTTTGTTTTTTGTTTCATAGTATTAGTAGCAGTCATAAGTTCAATGTATATAGACCTTTTCTGTTCATTGGCTTATACAAACTAAAATATTAGATTATATAATTTTGTGTTACTTCTGGTGCTGGTTTTTATACTTTTGAGAATTTTTACCCCCTTAATGTATGTTAGATAGTAGTGTCTTTCTTTTTTCTTATGCATGATATCATGCTGTGGCATGTAGAAAATAGCCTACAGAATGTCAGTTCCCACACCAAAGGTATCAGAAAAAGAAATACAGGGATAAGTGTTCTCTTGATTTGTGTCTAATTCTATTGATGCAAGATAGGCTACGTGGGGTTTGAATAATTTTTTTATGTGTTTTAGCACATGAGCACTGAAATATGGTCTGTTCTTATACTTTTCTTCAAGGTGACTAATATCTTAATAAAGAATATTATAGCTGTTACCACGTTGACTCATGGTTAAGTACATTTCAACGTAAGTTAAAGTGCAGTTTATTTAAGGCTCATAACCTACAAATTTGATAATTTGAAAAAAATATGTTCTGTTTGAAATTGTTTTAACTTTACTCATTTCAGTAAATTTTATGCCTGTCATTTCTCTGTATAGATCTTGTTCACAATTTTCTTATGCATGTAGTGTTTGTGGCCTATAGTGGTTAGTCTGCCAAGCCCTCGATTAAAAGAGGCATTGATTGGATTTCTTTCTGCACTGTCCTGAAGGACACTGCTTTTTTTTTTCGTCTTCTCACCATTCTGTCAGGTGCAATTTAGGTGTAAGAATTCATCCTTTTGTTGTCAAGCTCTATTAAAGCAATAATAGGACAAAGAAAACTCTATAGTTCTCTGTTCTGTTTAGGATTTCACATGGTGTTATTTTCCCTTCTTATGTCACTCAGGGTTAACTCTTTTAGAGTCTTTTCCCTTTGTTTGTTGACATTAACATAAATGACATTTTCTCATTGTGGAAGCCTGATAACATTAATATGTGAGGCAGTGTGGTGGAATCAGGCTCTCGTCAAAATAATCAAAGTGAAAAAACTTGCATTTTTCCGCAGGTTTGTGAATTTTTATCAAATTTTTGTTTTTTGGCTCAACACCTTTCATGCCCATTAAAGAACTCATTTCTGTGTGGATTTTTCTGAAAAACGTTGATTAAAGGCACAAAAAATGTAAATTTTCAGTTACCACGGACTCTTAAGCTAAGGAAATAACTAATCTTTGTCGGCCATTTTCTCACCAACTTTACCTCTGAAAACAGGTGACACCCACCTCCTTCATTCGCAAATATCTCGACTTGTTTTCCAGATAAATTAATATTTTTTTCATCCAAATAAAGGCAAGTGAACAAGCTTTAAGATGATACCAATAACTCCAGATGCCCAAAAGTTGACAAGTGCCTGATTCCACCACGATGCCTCACATATATTATTATGCAGTTGCGCCTGAACCTGTTCAAGACAGTGACTAGTTAAATGATCACTTCCCACTAACCCCCCGTGCATTTAAAAATGTTTCTATAGACATTGCTCAAGATGTCCATTTGTAGAAGATAACCACTTTTCTCCTCATTGTCTGGGACAATTTTGACTGTATTCTGTTTCAAGTAGACAAAGCATGCCTTTATTGCTTCACCATATATCCATTACAAATAAGGCCTACATCTTTGTGTATGTATTCCTATTCTATATATATTCATTGGATAGTTTTAGTACTAATTTTATCTTTTTAATGAGCAAATATTTGTTTTCCACACAAAAAAGCTATTTTTCAATAATTATTTTTTTAAAATATACACAATGAGTGAAAAATTATGGGTGTTTGGGAATTAAAAAACAACATAAATATTTTGTTTAAGTTTTTGATCAGACACATAAACTTTTTGCACCATTTTTGTTGCTTCAGTTTTATCAAATTGATTGATGTTCTTGCCTTGTATATAATTTACATTAATACTGTCAAAGAAATAGGTGGGTGGAGGGGTTATATATAATATAAGTTTTACTTCTTCACTTTTTTCTATTGCTCCTGTACTGTGGCGTATTTTTGTCTGGCATGCTCATTTCCAGCATTAAATGACTGTATTATGTTAATGTACCTCTTTTTACTCAAGCCTAGAAAAACCCTACTAAACTAAGCTCTCCTAGAGCTGTTTGTACCAGGAATTTGCTGCATGTTTCTTAATAATCAAATGGTATCAGGATTTCTGAAAGTGTTTCAACAGATGAAAATCAGCATATTGTGGGGACGATGAGCTGCTTATATCTACAGGAAGTTGAATCATCTGTTTATCTATTTTGCGAAAAGGTTGCAGTTAGAAATCTAATACTCAATCTTTAATGACTTTAAAATCACACAGATGGAAGATATGTTCTGTCTTTTGACACTTCGTTTGGAAGTATTTCTGAATTTCGTTTCATATTTGTTACTTGGTTATATTTCTGAAACATTTAACTGCTGGGTTTGTTTATGATAAAATGCTTCTCTGTGGCTGGTATATGTTGTGTATTAAAATTCGGGTGATGCATATCAACCTATGATCTTTTATTCAAGTTACTTTGTGCCTTTTGTTTTTGCACAGCATTTAAATATTTAATTGTTTTAACAACATTCACATTAATATTTTTAAGTTTACGTCAGATTTCCTGAATTTAGTGTTCTATTTTCTGGCTTCTATTTTGGTTCTCAGTTCTATTTTGAATTTCACATGGTGTTATTTTCCTTCTTATGTCACTCCAGGTTAAACTTGTACATGTACAAGCACATAGATACATCTTTTGGTTCTGGAATACGTTAGCTAAGTGAATGAAATAAAAGTTGTACATTTTATATCAAAGGGTAAATTTTTGCTCCTCTGATTTGATGCGTTTTACTGAAAGTAGTAGTTTGTCTCTCTGATATTCCCCAAGCTGTGGTAAGAAGTTAAAATCCTGTTTCCACATTGGCTACATGAGGAGAAAGAGATGTTTTAATAATGGCAGAAATACTAGACTTTATGGAGTTATATTTCATTTGTTTTGTTTTATTGTAGAAGGGTTCTTCCAATATTATCAGTGTTATATTTTCACTTTATTTTGATACAATCTTGTTCTTTTAAAGAATTCTCAAGACTCTTCTCTGAATTTTTAATCTCAACATGATATTTACTCGAAATGTCAGGGCCTATTTTATGATTATTATTATGATGTGAAGAGAAATGGAGCAGAAATCCTTCTTGTGTTTCAGACTCACCTTTTGAGGCTCATGTGACGGATAAATCGTTGGTGACCCTGCTCACTGATGTACAGGAACTGAAGGATGAGAATGATCACATTGCTCTAGACTATGGGAAGCTGTTTGTTTTGGACCTTGATGTCAGCCAGGCGGGACCAGGTAAACAATCTTTTTTCAAGTGCCTGGTCTAAAACTGACATCAGCAGCGATCATGGCATATTTGTAATTTCTCTACTTGAATGCGCTCAGTAAATCTGTATCGTCCTTGCTAAAAAATTTTTAGATTTTGAATTAGAAATTTTGACATTTTATATTTTTACAACTGCTCTTTTGTTTTGGGCTGTTTTTTGTATATTTTGTTGAAATATCAATTCTGTCGTATTAATTGTTTGTATGTTTGTATAAGCATGTTCCAGTGGGTGGTTGGAGGGTGCCGCTGGCAGGTCCTACTCCCTTACTTTTCCTCTGTTGTTTCTGTTTACTATTTGTTTTATTTTTTTCCCAGCAACAAATGACCATTTTTGTGTCGATGTTCTTCTCTTTACTCAAACTAACAAACAAAATCATGTCCCAAGTCAAGAACACACAAATATAGAAATTTAATTGTACAAACTGCTGTGAGGTTACCATACTGAACCCACTGTGCTACGAACAAAAGAAACAGAGAGAGAGAGAGAGAGAGAGAGAGAGAGAGAGAGAGAGAGAGAGAGAGAAGGAGAGGGAGGGATTGAGAGACAGGGTATGTTTATGGTTTGGTGGTGTTTCGATCAGCACATAATACACTCAAACCTGTCTAAGGCGGAACTGCAAGGGAGCCCGAAAAACATCCTGTCTTAGACATGTCTTGTCTTGGACAGGGGAACCTGCGGCCCAGCTGGTGGGATCAAGGGCGTTTAACTGTCTTATTTTTAAAAATTTATAGTAGAGGGTTTTAAGGCGCTCGCAACTGCATAAGGTCATTTGAGCACCAAGGGGCGGGTGTCAACAGAGAAACAGAGAAGTCTTTACAGGGAATCAGACTTAGACTGCTCACCTCTCTAGCTTCAACAGCACAAGGTCTGCTTCGACTATCAAGGCACCCCGGAAATAGAAGGTCACAAGAGAGTGACAAACATACAAAAGAAGTAGAGGAAAATGACAATAGTAAGGATCAGGAAAGAAAAAGCAGCAGTTCCCTGTTGTAGATCAGGCACAGTTATGAGCGTGACATGAGTCAGCCCATTTACAATTCTACTATGCTTGAACAAGAAATGTCCCCCCTTTGGGAATGGCCTAAACACACTACAGTCAGTGGCACTGCCCCAGGGGGTGGTTTAATTGTCTGATCGGCAAGCAGTGGTCAAAACCCTATTCCTCTGTAGTGCTATCCTTTTATCCTCTCTGATAATAGCATGTGGCAGTCCTACTTATCCATTGCCACCAGTGCGTGTATCTCATAGAGTCACTGTTTGACCTATAATAAAGAGAAATGATTGAACCTCTTTGCTTCCACCCTTAACCTCACCCATCAGTGTGATAAACACAGTCAACAAATGCCACCTCTCTTGTGCATGTAACAAAGATTCAAGGACCATTTTTGTCCACTGGCCATATAATCAGGGCGACGGGCATTGGTCAAATTAATCTCACACCTCTGGCCACGAACTACCCAGGAAAGTTTCAGGAAAGAATCGCCACTGAGGAACTTTTACATGCACTGGTGAGATTTCACACCTATACCACCATAACCATCTGCACCATGCAGGGCTCTCATGAATGGGGTAAAATCTACTTCCAAGTGGCATCCCCACTCCCTTTTCTTGCCTGGCAGCATAATGTAAAAGTTAGAGCCAAGGTAACCAAAGTTAATAATTTTTGTTTCAGATCAAGGCTGAGTAGGCAAAGAATTTTCTGTTTTTAGTTTTAGACAGGTTAAAAACTCTGCGAAAGGAAGGAATTTCTCTTTCTGTTTTTTTGTTGTTGCGTTAGGCATGTTTCAGTTTTATGGAGGTAATTAAAGAGGAATTTATCAAGGGAGGTGCAGGAAAGTTCAGTTATGACAGGTTTCCACCAATGAGAGGTGTTTGTCTACTTTGGGTTCACTTTAATCCAGAACACGTCTCTAGGCTAACTGACACGAGCACAAGAATAACTGCTCTTCACACAAATCTCGGACAGCAATTGCACTTTATTACTCACCCCACTAGTCGCTACTGAGCATGTCTTAAAGTGACGGGAGGTAGCTCCCTTAAAACAAGGATGGACTATAACCTTGTTATGTCCCATACACAACAAGAGGTTTCCATAAAGACAGGTTCGACTGTACATGCATTTATATCCCCTTTTTTATGCTTTTTCTTGATTGCACTTGACTTTTGTAACATTACTGCCTTCGCAAATGACCAAGACAAATTTCTCCATGAAGGTTGAAAAAAGATTTTCATTGTCACTGTCTGTTCTGTTTTTGCAGGGATATTTAAAGGTGAAGTTCTGAGTCCAAAGGGGAAGCTGATTGTGAGTGTGAAGCAGACAAAAGAACAAGTTTCCATGTCATTCACACCACGTACCGAAGGTATGACTTCTTTTTGTTTTCACTCTCTTTGTGTCTCTTCCCTCCCCATCCCCTCCCTTATCCTTCTCTCTCTTTTTTCACCCCCCCCCCCCAATAGCCTACTCACTATGGGCAGTCCAACTACTGGCAACACCCTTGATAAGGTCCAAAATAATGCCTTCCATTTCATAAACGGTGGCATGAGATCTACACCTATAGCGGCATGTGAAATTCTTTCAAATGTTGAACCCCTGGGAATTCGCAGAGATAAAGCAGTTTTGGAGCTCCATGAAAAAAACAAAAGAATGTGCCCCAACTACTCAAACAGGAAACCAGTAGAAACATGGAAACCAAAGAAATGACTTTAACAAAAATCAGTCATGCATCATATCACAGAACTAATGGAGAGTCACCGTCTACCTCAAAACAGAAAAGAAACCAAAAGAGGCAACCATGACCAAAACATTCCTCCCCACATATCTTTGAAAAAAAACTAGTAATTACAACATCTCTTAGAGACAATAGCACAAAATCTTCAGACTCAGTGACGCTGATGCTTGCATTACATCAAACAATTGACAACTTTTCAAATGAATGGATATACGTTTATACAAATGGCTCAGCATTCAAAGGCGCAACCAAAGCCGGATATGAAATACTAATACAATACCCAGATGGAAGTTCCAATGAGATCTCTGCAGCCTGTGGAGAGAAATGCAACAACCTCAATTCAGAAATGATGGCAATTGAAACAGCACTATACCATCTCTGCAGTTTTTGACATTCATCCAAACAAAAGGCAGAGTATTGTGATTTTCACTAACTCACTATCAGCCGTGCAAGAGATAGAAAATGACCGTCATCTAAACCAAGACTAACCATATATTCTGTTTGGCTCCAATCACCTTATAACATTCTGTGGCATTCCTGGTGAGGCAGTGGATTCTCGGACATTCAAACATACCTGGAAATGACAGAGCAGACACACTCACCAAAAGGTGATCTGAACAGGAACAACCCAAAACTCCAACTTCATACAACACAGAAAAACAAATCATTAAAAGCAACAGCAAACAAGATTGGATGAACAGTTGGGCCTTGGAAAGACAGGCAGAGCCGTTTTCAAACATATCACTTCAATAAAACGTAATGACAATATCAACCACCTGCAGGGAAAGAAACAGACCACAATCTTCCACCTACGAACAGAACATATACACCTCAACTTTCAATTAGAGAAAATGAAACCAGAACTTCCCCCACAGTGTTCTTTGTGTGGCTATGCTTATAAGACTGTTGATCATCACCTTTTCCACTGCACAGCACTAAATGACATCAGAGCTACACTGCTGAGAGAGAGAGAGAGAGAGAGAGAGAGAGAGAGAGAGAGAGAGAGACTTAAAACAGCATTTTTTTAACACATGCTTACAACATTTGTTGTCTATCTGACATATTATTATTCCTTTCCTGTTCCAATATGTCATTATTTTGTTAGTGTGGTTGTCTTTACTGAAACTTAATTTGCATTAATGAAATTGACGTGAGAGCTTCGTCATGCTCTCTTGCCCTAAACAACAACTCAGCAACAGGACCGACATCTGTTGTGTAATGGTGTAGCTCTTTCCCATGTTAGAAACAGTAGACACGAGTTTAATTCCACAGTGGGAAAGTTACTTTACCAAGCACCTCCAATTGTCTACTAGAATACTTACTTACTGTGCTTTACTTTTACTTTTTCATCCTCTGTTGCCGTTAAACGTCGAAGGGAGATGCAGTTTTCTATGGTAGGCCAGCTCCGCAGCTCTTTCAGTTGTAATGTTATGTTTTCTAAGGGTTTCCTTGACACCGTCGATCCACCTTTTGCGTGGCTGTATCCCACTAAGACCAGGTTGACCCTTTCCAAGAAAATCAGCTGCACAAACGCGCACTCCCCACTTTGACCCCTTGCGTTTTTTTCTATATAACGACACTGTGCAAGATGTCCACCTGTCTCGTACAACCTATTTTTCTCCACAACAATAGCGGGACTTGCACTGTTTGACTGTACTAATTATTTTATAACTTACATGCCAGGTGACCACTACATCCACATGTATTGGTCAAATGTTCCCATTGAGTTGAGTCCACTTCTCGGATACTGCCCGGGGCCTCCGCTTCCTGTAGATTCAAGCCAGGTCGTTGTGACGGGTCAAGGGGCGGAGTCTGCCAGAGCCACTGTGCGTGCTGAGTTCATCATTGATGGAAGAAAGGCTGGACCTGGTAGGAAGAGCTCTTTTAACGCTTGATTGCCCTTCAGAATGTAATACTTGTGGTTTCAGTTAATGATTACATTTTATTAATTTCGTACTTTTACTAGGTAATGTATTATTGTTTTGCAAGTAATATAGAAATTGCAGTAAAGTATGCACTTACTGAAATCAGTAGGGTGTGGAAATGTTAATGTAAAATGCAAAGTTTGCTATTTATAAATATTAGGCTATGTCAATGGAGAAAACTGTTGTTACTTAAACATAAAATAATGTTAAACACTGACCTTTTGGTTGCCTGTGTTTACAACGTTAGCCAAACCTGTTTCTCTCTCTGGATCGTGATCCTTTCCTCAGCGATAGGGCCCCGATGCATTGGAATCTCACACACAACACAAAAAGAGACCGAGGCTCTAACTAGCCATTCCCCTTTTCTCCACTCTCCCCTTCTCTCAGCAGGCCTCCTCTGCCTTGATACAGCTCTCATCTCTAAAGTCTGACCTGTAGTAATCCAGACTGCTTTTATATACTTGCACCAAACAATACAACTGAACTGAGACTCACACTTTTACTCACTCACTCTCTCTGCTTTACACACTTTCAGCCAAACAATGCAATAGGCTAGGCTTAAGCCCCTGCCTCTGATCAACACGCCAGATTGCAAATTAAACAACCAAATAGACCACAAAAACAAAGTTGGAAAATTAGGTCAAAATTTTACATGAATTAGTCCTCTCTGCCATGCCAAAAGTAGTGTTGGTTTAAAGTCCCTTTGATCTTAATGCGGCTTTTGTTGCTATTTTTTGTCACAGAATAACAATATGAATGAAAGAGGTTCATTTATCCAAGGATGTAAAAATCAAGTAAGAGCAGTATTTGGACATAAAAAAATCATGGGAAAATGAGATGTCTTTGCTCTTAATAAATTAAACATATGTTCAACATAAGGAAAGTGTTTTTGCTACTTGTGTCCGCCTTGTAAAGTGAAAGGATTCCAACATCGTTTATCAAACCCGAAATATTATTCTTAAAAAGAAGCAAGCTCCCAATACTATTAACAATCTATGATATGAGAGAAAATCTTCAGAATGATATTCATCTGTAATCCAACGACATTTGTTCAAACTTGATTCTTGTCCTTACACTAAAAGCAAATAGATACCAAACTTCTGTTTACTCTCATCACTCAAAGAAAGCTCTTGATTCCCCGTGATATTAGTGATATTCCATGTTGTTACAGGTGTTCCCAAGGTGACAATGCAAGGTGTTCAGACAGAGCTGCCTGTGGAGGTGAAGCCTCTGAAGTACAACAGATACCACTGCTCATACCTCTCAGAATTCCCAGGTAACTGATGAAATAGTTCATTTTGAAAAAGGTATAATTAAAACGCTTATTTGTTGTATCCAGGCTACGAGTAAACTCATAACGAGGACTAGGCCCGGCTATAAGTAAATTCGGGACAGCTGTATGGTCACGTTAAACAGCTTTTTCTGTTTGTAATTAGCAAAATACGAAAATATGGCGATGCTAGCTCTATCTGAATATTTCAATTTTCACATGAGCAGGGGTTTCTTTGTTTTTGATGGGTGTAGAAGCTTGAAAAATGTCTCGAACACCCACGTTCACAACCGACGAAGTACTTCCTGAAGTGGCGCTGGTTTTGTGAGGGGGAATCTGACTAATTTGATGAAAGTGACTCACGTCTGAATCAATACCGTAAATGTCATTGTGGAGAATAACGAACAGGAATTAGACTCTTTATCAGTGATTGGTGTAGATCTATAAATCCAAGGGGACGTCATGGGCGTGGCAATAAGGGTCAAGTTTGAGGGTGGAATACACGTCAAAACCTATAAGGTGCTATAGTTGTAATTCCTAAATTTCCTGAAAATCTAAGAGTAAATGTGAGAAATACAGCACTTTGAAATATACACCCTTATTTCCAACCCGTAAGGGGAGGCAGCCCCAGGACGGGTACTGAGTCCGTGGGGGTATGGCCAGGATAGGTGAAATCAGGCGCTCATCAAAATAATGAAATCGGAGAAACAGGTCTTTTACTGACAGTTTTGACATTTTTATGGAATTTTATTTTTTGGCTTAACCTCTTTTGGGTCCGTATAAAAACACATATGGATTAAAGGCACAAAATATGTCATTTTTCAGTTTTAAAAGATTCTTTAGCTATTGGAGTTACCAAACTTTGGTGGCCATTTTCTCGCTAATTTCCCCACTGAAACCAGGCAACCTCTCTTCCTTCAATCTCAAATATCTTGAATTCTATTCAAGATAAATGGATATTTTTTTCTTTGGAAGCAAAACGAATAAATCAGCTTTCAGAGGATACCAATAACTCTACATGCCCAAAAATTGTGGAGCGCCTGAATCCACCGCGTCGTGACACAATTAACCTCTCTGCTGACATTATTTGCTTTTTGTGTACTTTTGATAATGCTCTCGAGCCATACTGATAATGGGTGAGCTCAGCCAGCTGGTAACCTTGTAAAGCACTTAATTAGAGCTTGCTGTTGAGCGGAGGTATGCACTATGCAAAATGCTAATTATTCTTATTATTTTTATAAATTAAAATTATTTTTTTTTATAGTAGAGGGTTTTACGGCGCTTGCAACTGCATAAGGTCATATGAGCGCCAATTTTTATTAAGGGGTAGGTTCAATTGTTGGACTTTTACTTAAAAAGCTGTGAGTTGATCTCCAGTTCTGTATGGTGGGAACTTGTATCCTTATTAATTAAAGTCCCTTGGCTGTTTTTTCTTCTGACACTGACACCCAGCTGTATACAGGTACTAGGTTCTAACTACAGGTTACAACGCTGTATGTCCTTCCCAGGGGACCATGAAGGTCATGTAGAGAAAACAGTCATTCAGCCAAAGCAGTTCTTGTGGGGAAATGTGAGCCGTTATAAGGGGGTACAGGACTGTAGATTAGGCATTATAATAAGTGTCTTTATTTACGTAGGCCTAATCTTAATGTTGTCTTACTTCAGAGAACAAAAAAATTCTGGGTTTTCGAAGAGCCTAAGTTAAAGCATTCATGATATATTCATGATCCATATATGCACCATCTTATTAATGAGGAGAAACTCTCTTTTATACTACTGTATGACAGTGCTCTTTTCCTTTGCATGCAAAAAACATATATTTAATTCCTAGCAGGGGAGGTTTTTTTTATTCATTGTCTTCAACTGCCTTCTGGGCTGTTGTGTTCCCCTTCAGCCTGTCTTAGCCCTATAAAACCAGCAGAGTTGAAGAAGTCTTTCCCCCTGAATGATTTAAACTGTGTCAATTAGGGCATCAAATAGTGACAATGTCAATACATTTTTATATTTTGTATCGTTCTTCCAGGTAGTTTCCTCCTGTATATCTCATGGTCGGACAAAATGCTCCAGCGCTGCCCTATCAAGGTCAATATCTTTGCAAAAGGGGATGCTAAGAAGGTGACGGTCTCAGGAGAAGGGCTCAATGGAGGTATTGCAGGCCATGAGCTGAAGGTGTTTGTGGACACTACTGCAGCTGGTCCCGGTAAGCTTAGTCATGTGTAGGATAAGATAAGGAATAAGCTCGGGCCTAGAAAAAATAAACACAGAAAGCTTGAAATCATGAATAGCTCATAAAATTTGTTATTCATCAACTGATATCTCTTTAATTTTCTGTTATATGGGTTTACAGATTTAATAATGTGTTAACACATTTTCAGTCCCCGATGTTTTTGAGTTTTATGTGCCCGACTGTACTCTCTTGGATCTGCTCACGAAGAAATAGACAATGTACTTTCTCTAGCAGCTGCAATAAGAAATACATTCCTGGCATATTGTTATTATTACATCAGGGTAGGCCTTCACTTCACCTTGTGAGATTTATTCTAGCTTTTTTATTCACAAAGACTTTAAAATATTGGACTTTTTTGCATTCATTGTGTTTTTTGAGCTGACGCAAATGTTTTTTGTTTGTGTTCGGTGTTTTTCTTTGTCAACTTTGTATATATATTTTTTTAGCAATATCTCAGATTGATATAATTCTATTAACAGTCATTATTTCAACTTTATCTAGGTTTAATTGCAAGCATTCAAACGTTTGTCGATGCACCCCTTTGTTTATTTAATGCTTTTATTGTTTACTCTGTGCTTTTATTCTGATATTAAATTAAGTGAAAAAAAATTCAGTTTTCATTACCATTATTCATTATGTTCTAAAGTTAAATAATATTATGCTATCAGGGGAGATAACTGCAAGTTGTCAAAGCCAGCATCAGACTGCCCGCTGTGACGTCAAAGAGAACAACGACGGTCATTACACACTGAGAGTACTGCCCATGGAGCCAGAGCGACACATCTTACAGGTCGAGTACGATGGAGTACATGTGCCAGGTAGGAATCATTCATTTTTCTAAATAGTTTCAGAATGTTGGGTCATCTCCTGATGTTTTAATGAAAGAACTCTTTTTCATCGTCCTGGCTATGTAATGATTTGTGATAATCTCTGAGTGAGCCTCACCTGCCAACATTGTCTAGCCCCTCACATTCCCTTCCCCTCACGCCCCCTCATGGCAACAGATATATTTTGGTGAAGATGAGCCTGATCAACCATCTCCACACATACCCCCCCCCTTTCCAGTCCATCCACACCTCCCCCAGTGATGTGAAGTTGTTAAGGTTATCTTCGCCTGCAAAGGGCAGGTGTCATCATAATTTGTATGCCAGACTTTTGTCTTGCTGTCATCATATTTCTAGAAAATATTCATGTACCCACTGTGGTTCCATAAGCCTCAGTTTGCCATGGGTAGCAGTTTGCTCAAGTTTGCATGAAGCATGAAGCATGCTTTTGTTTTAATCAAATTTTTACAGCACTTGCTACACAATTAGGTCATATAAGTGCCAAAGATTAGAGATGTTACAAGAGAGTAACAAACATGACAAAAAAGAAGTGAAGAAAAGGTTAGATGTATGATCGGTAAAAAGGAGCAGACCAGGTCAGAGCACCAGCCAACCACCCACATGATGCATGCCTGAGACTGAATGGCAATTAGAATTTTATTTTCTGTGGCAATTATAAAGGGTAGCAATATCACATAAAAAAGAACTGTAACTGATTTGAGTGATATACACATTTTAATGGTTTCATTGTACTGTGCTGTGTATGTGTGATTAGTCATCTTTCTTTCTTGTTCCTTAGTGTCAGTATACCTGGTTGTACTTTCTCTTCAGAAGAACATACTAAATTTACATTGCACTTTAGGTAAATAATTTGTTTTAAAGTAAAATCAATTTCTGAAGCACTTTGATTTCTATGAATTTCACTGTTGTGTGAGTCGCCCCAAATTGTAAAACTGATTTTCAAAGTATATTCATTTTTAAAAACAACTCAAAAAAATTAATATTAATATTAATTGTATTTACATGGTGTTGATCCATGATCTACAGCATGTTCTGTGCACTTAACAATTATTAGTTGAACTCTTTGTCTCCGGCAAGCCACTCCCAGCAGCTCGCGATCAGAACCACTGTGCCGGTGAGCCGCTAACACTACTAACAGGGGCTCGGGCACATTCCTTTACGATTACCTCCGACATCAAATTACTTTTTGGCAATTGCCGAAAACAGGTCTCTTATACCGGATTAAGTTAATTCAGTAGATGACGAACTATCGAAATAGGTTTGCTAGTTTCGATTTAATGACACATATAATGACGTTTTTGTCATTTTTAGATAATTAGCGCCAAAAAAGGGTCCCAGCGTAGTGGGTTTACCCCCCCGGAGATAAAGAGTTAACCATACGTACAGTTTTGCTGTTATGTTTTGATGTGTTTTTGGTTACTGCTTGTCACCTTTGTTATTTAAAAATAATGACCTTTTTCTCAGAGAATGAAAACTTTTCTCAAGATATTACATTCTTCGAGGGTGAGCCCTTCCCTGTCATGGGAATACATTTTGCCTGCACAAGCCATACTTATAATATATGTGCACTTTTTGAGATCATCAAGCATCACTTTTTCTTTTTATATGTGTTTTACAGTGCTTGCAACTGCATAAAATCATGTGAGCATGCGGGACACATTAAACATTTTCAATTGGTAGAAATTTTGAATTTTGTGCGGGAGGCGGCTGAAGCTTACTCTTATTGATTTTAGACCTCCAAGGGATGTTTAACATGTGCAACTGATACACGGGACCTCCGAGATTTTTTGCCCTTATCTGAGAAGGATAGGTGTAAATCTTTCCTACCAGAAGATCAGGGGTGTGGCTGAAAGACAGCGGTAAGATTAGTAAGAAGGAGCCAAGGAGTAGCAGTAGAAAGGCTGCAGAAAGAGTCAGGAGCCCAGAGGAGGGGGCAAAGGAGGTGAGGGGGTGGTGGCAGAAAGTAGAGATGAAAGCAGACAACAAAACGTTGCTAGAGAGCAGGAAAGGAGGTGAAAGAAGACGATTTTAAAGATGAAAATTTTTCGGTCACTACCCCGATTCGAACCCGGGATCTTTGAATGAGAGGCGAACACCTTAACCTCTAAGCCACGAGAGCCCCCCACCCCTAGCATCACAACTTAATTTTTCTTTGGTGAAGGGACCATTGTAGTGACAAATTCTATTTTGATGTCATAGTCAAGTGTTGCACAACATATGTTGACTGCTCAGGGTAAGACTCCACTTTATGTCACTTCATAAAATGGTGTACTATGATGGAGCCTTATGTATTATGCAGTCGATATATATAATGAATTGAAGAAATCAGACACTTTGTTGTTGCTTTTTGCATTTTAAATAGATTATTATAGTGCACATGAAAGCCTTTTTTTACTTACACATCACTGTAGGTTTTTTTGGTGTTTTAAACATAATCTAATCTCTGTTTGTTTATGGTTATAATGGATGCAAAGAGTAAATCTAAATCTGAAAATGAGCTACAGGGGAGGCAGTTTGTTTTATATATCACTGGTCAACGTTCTTATGAAGTGGTGCACTATTCTGAATTGAAGTTTCAAATCATACCAAACATAATGGGTGTATTCTTAGCTAGAGAATTACTAGAGCTCACTGACACTTAGTTATTTTTTTTTCTTTTCAAACCAAAAACATTTTTTTTAGAACAGAATAACTGAGTGTACCTAAAAAAGTAGGTTTCAGTAACGGTTGTGTTGGTTAACTGAGGAATAATCTTGATTTTGTGAAACAAAAGTAATAAAAAAGATGAAAACAATGCCGATACAAATTCAAGGAAAATTTTGAATTTTATGGTTCAGACTGTGTTTCATTAAATGGCCTTTGGTCTTATGTCTAGATTTTTATGGCCACCTCATTACAGTCATTATATCCAGACCTTTACAAATTCGAGTTATGAACAGAAATACAGTTAGGCAGGGATAAAACTCAAACACCTCGGCTATTGACAAATGTGCCACGACGGGGTGGAATCAGGCGCTGGTCAATTTTTGTGTATAAAATGGAGTTATTGGTATCCTCTGAAAGCTGAATTATTTGGCTTGCTTCCAATGAAGTAAATATTCATTTATCTTGGATAGAACTCAAAATATTTGTCATTTTAAGGAAGTGAGGGCTCCTGGTTTCAGTGGTGAAATTAGCGAGAAAATGGCCGCCATAGTTTGGTAACTCCAATAGCTAAAGAGTCTTTGAAAACTGAAAAATGACATAGGGCCTATATATTATGTGCCTTTAATCAATGTTTTTCAATATTATTCACATGGAAATATGTTTTTATATTGACATTATAGAGGTTAAGCCAAAAACTAAAAATTCAATAAAAATGTCCAAACTGGCGGAAAAATACCTATTTCTCTGATTTCATTATTTTGACGAGCGCCTGATTTCACCACGCTTCCTCACAAATGTGTTAGACACATCCATAATTAAAGTAAACTGATGTATCTAACCAAAATATGAAGAGACACCAGTCGGGTAGTGGCAAATTATTGTAATAGCTATCCATGATTTCGAGTTTCCCATGTTTGTGTTAACTGTGTTCCACTGTAATAACCTAACTCTTTCCTAACTTGATGTTCTGCATGTGTGCACACTGTCAAATAGCAGTCTTAAGAATAGTCTTTGGTACTAATAGTGACATGTGTTTTGCTTGTTCAGGTAGCCCTTTTGTCCTGAGAGTGGGTGAACCTCCTGACCCCAGCAAGGTCAAAGTGTTTGGCCCAGGTGTGGAGAATGGTTTAATCGACTGGTTCGAGTCCCGCTTCTTAGTGGAGACTCAAGGGGCTGGAGCTGGTCAGTTGGCCGTCAAAGTCCGTGGACCTCGAGGTAGGTTGGGGATGAGTTGAAATGAGAAATTATATCATGGGAGTTATGTGAAATGAAACATGATGAGATGGATAAATTAAGACAAAAGTGGGATTAGATCAGATTGTGTGAATAGGCTAGTGTAAGATAGGAAAGAGGGAGATGGATTAAAACAAGATGAAGAGGTTGGATAACATAAAATTGGATAAAATGGAATATGTGAGATATGATAAGATTAGATAAGATGAGATAATATAGCATGAAATGACATCAGATATGATGAGATGGGGTAAGATTGGATTGAGGTGAGATCACATGAAATGTGATGACATGAGATGGGTTTGATCAGACAATATTCAATATCTTATCGATGTAGACGAAATCTTCTTCTTTGTCTTCTCATACCCCTGCTCAGGGAGTAACTAACCTTAAGACCGTCATCTCACAAAGCAGTTGGTTTTAATTTTTTAGTTGTTTTATCTTCCCAGAAATTAAAATCATCCCTTTTCTGACAGGCATCCACATGCTATTTTTAAAGGTACTCTTCTTTGTATCTATACTGACGAGAGTGGTTTCAGCTTTGGGTAAGAATTAATTTTGAATATTGCACGGATGGGTATGTAGAAAACATGAGAAAAACAAATCATAGCTAATGGGGATCAAACTGCTGACCTCCAAGTTAAAGGGCAAACACTATACTGTTGAGCTTAAGATTCTCCAAAGGGATGGAATGATGGGGAGCAAAAGTCAAGATATGAGATGAGATAAAATGAAAGAAGGTGAGATGAGAAGGGTTGATAATATGTTAGAGCTCATCATTAAGGAGGGGGGGCAGTTGCTAGTCAAAATTTATGGATTCCATAGCTGCAAATTTGTAGCTTGATGCTAATCATTATAGGGAACCTTGATAAAAATGAACATGAAAACCTTATTGCATTTGTTTCTTTTCAGGTGGATTTAAAGTTGACATGCGTAGAGAAACCAAGTCTGAAAGAACAATAACTTGCAGGTAAGCAAAAGAATAGGTGGTTTTGGTACATTCTGGGTTTTTGTTTATGCTTTGATTAAAAATTTTGTCAAGATTATTATCAGTTGCTTCTCAATCTACTTTCAAACGTTTTAGTTTCTTCAAGTTTTCAACTCTTTCTTGTACTCATAGGTTGAAGTATTCACCATATCTGCAAATGAAAGTGAGAAAAGGAAAAGAGTTTTCTCCATGCATATTTATCTGATGTGTCATTTTCTGTTCCTCTGGACCTAAATCGTTTGTCACATGTAATTATCTTTATAAAAAATTTTTGTTGTTGTTTTCTTTTGTTTTCTTTATTTAATTATACATGTACAATTATACATCTTTCATTATTTTCATCGAAGAGAGTTATTCTGGGGGGCAAAGAAAGTGTGCTGTATGTAATGTCAAAAAAGTTTGCTTTGTATGACAGGTGACTTTTCATGCACTAATATGAAACATATTTGCATTGATTCCCATAACACTTTCATGAATTTGGCAGCACGAAATATTTAAAGATGCCTTTACAAACAAGTACTAAGTATTGTACCCTCCACTGAAAAGAAAAACCCTATATAGGCTTTCATATATTTGTATGTTAGTCGAAGAAAGACAGCTAAACAAGGTTACAAAAAGAAAGACAGATGGGAAGCAAAGACTAATAATAAGAAAAAAATTATTCATGAACATTCTTTCTTCAAAACACTTGGATTACTTGGAATGCAGTAAAAAGTTGCAAATAAACCATAAGCTGGAACTTCTACAGATTATGATTCAATCATATGAAATATTGTCTCATGGATGTTATTGCTAAAAGATGTCTAAGTACAATATTGGATGAAGAGAGTCGATTTCTTTTCAAGGCAGGTAACGCTTTAAGGCTCTCTCCTGGTGAGAAAACGCAAGTTTTTATTAGTTTCTGACACTTTTGTCATATTTCATATTCTCTCAAATACTCCTAACAGAAGCAAAATGGCATGTCTGATGGCTACGCTGGTTTTATTTTTTGTTAAGGTTTTATTTTTGCACTTTTTTAATACATTTTTCTCCATTTCTTGTGTCACAATTTTAATAGATATATAAGTTTATCTCACAGTCAGATTTCTTCCTTCTTGCTTCAAATTATGTAGGCCCTATGAGTAATCTGTTAGCTTTTCTCTATAAAGTTTTAGAAAGATTCTGCTCTTTTGGGGGGCTGCTAAATTAGAAAAAAATTTGAGTCTTCTAAAATATATTCTCCTACATAATGCTCCATAGACACAACTTAGATCATTAAGGAGGCCAACGTTAACCCTCTTTGTCAGGGCCAACTTGCTCTGAGAGGAATGTATCATATCAGAGAGACCAAAATACTCGATAAAAATTCTCCCTACATAAGAATCAAACACAGATCTTCTGCACTGGATGATGAAGCACTCAATTGTTACACCCCAGACACTGATTTACTGTAAAATTACTCTGTAATTTTTTTGCAGTAGGGTCGCGAAGCAGAAAAATTGCAACCTCGTTGCTTGTTTAACATTGAACATGTGACTTTTTCTTAAGCTCACTCTTTGTTATGAACTGTTTCACTGTTATTAAAAATGGCGATACGACAAGAAAGCACTGAGGTCGTGAAATGGTACTGATATCATGATAAAATAGTGTCAAAGCCAAAGTCTCTTACTCGTGGGAAAATCTAGAAGTTAGCTATATTTCTTGGCTTCAATGGCCACAGGTGCAAAAACACAAGGTAATAAATTTCCTTACATTTATCTTCCCCGAAATCTGCTACAAACAGTTCAAATTTCAGCTGCTATACAAAAACATGTTGGAGATAATATTCTTACCTGAAGAGAGCCTCAACCAGAGTATCATAATGTGGGCTACTGTATTGACTTTGTGAGTTGTTAGTACCTCTTCCTTTCAAAGTTATATCAATATACATTTAATTTGACTATTTTGACAGTGGACTTATACATTTTCGCTTTGTTATGGTTCTTTTACTTTGAATGAAGCCCTTCCCATTACTCTGTTTGAAATTCGTTTAGTCTAAATTTAACCCTGTCTAAGACAGCCTTTAAACAGCTGGCCATCTTACACAGTGAAATTTTTTTTAATGCACAAAGGAGTAAATGTAAAGTGGCAGAATGCAGGCCTACTGGTGAGTTTCTTGTAAAGGTAGCCATGAGAGTAGGTTGGACTGTATTTCTTTTGTGTCCTCTTTTTAATTTGATTTTTCTCTCCTTCAGATATGACCCAAGTGAGCCTGGTGAATATTCAATCAGTGTTCGCTGGTCAGGTGTCCATGTGCCGGGCAGTCCCTTCAGTGTGAACCTGGTAGAGACGAAGGAAGAACTACATGTCATCATGATGAGACAAGGGAAGGTTATTGCAGATGAGGATGATGAGTGGAGGGCGGAGATTTAAAAAGAAGAAAGAAAAGAAGAAAAGAGATAGTTTTTTTTATCTATCTGTGTGTCTAAATTATGGATTACAAAGGCATGGTGCACTGTGTAGGCCTACATGGTCCATGAACTCACATTTTACAATACAGGATCTTAACACCATTTATTTGAGTGTTTGTCTTCATAAATATATGAATCAATATTTGTGATAATAAACGTCCTCTTCATGAAGCATATGCAAGATCTCCTGGAAGCAATAAAATCCTCCAGCCTTCTTCCAAAACAGAGAGATATAAGAGAACTCTTTTGTCCACTCTTTTATCAGGAATGATATCTAGGACTAATAGAATACAGAATAAACGTTTCGTATATGATCCTGCTTTATGTGTATGCCCGATGTGTATGGAAGAGACAGGGTGAAGACTGTGTGCATGTGTGAGTTGGTGTGTGTGTGTGTGTGTGTGTGTG